AATGCAATGCTCCATGATGCTGAAGCCACATGGGTGGGTCCTGGGTTCATGTCCCAAAGCCTCCATGTGCACACATGTGTGCCATGAACCTGGCTGGCGGAGACTGGGGGTGGATCACAGCATGAGGACCTGTTGAGAGTGCCTCCCTCTCCCCCCCCTCCCTCTCCCCGTCCCTCTCCCCACTCCTCTTTCTCTCTCTCTCATGGAAGAAATAAATGAGTAAACTTTTTAAAAAAACATTGAAACAGCAATACCCAAATCTAGTTATGCATATGCATACAATTACACTGCATTTTTATCCTTGCCCAGTTTTCTCTTTGCACATTAAGGGAGTGAAATTGTTGATACTGCAAAAGTTATGATGTTTTGATTTTTTTTCTTTTCAATAGGAAAATTTGAAACTTCAAAGCAGAAACTTAAAGCAGATGTTTAGGTTTGCCTAGTGTGGATTGAAACCCTGTCTTCATTATTTATTAACGGTTCTTAGTTTTGTGTTCCTGATTGCATAAAGGAAATTTACAAGGAATGAGTGTTTCCTGTTCATTTTTCATGCTGATTACTGGGGAAGGATTCCTGGAACTGTGGACAGAATTACGCAGTGCGCCTTCCAGGGGAAGGTCTATATATGAGTAGCCCGTTACAATCAGCACGGAACAGGAGTCGAAACAGGCCAGGCTGAAGGTCAGGCAACTGAGGAAGGACGCATTACTTGTATTAGTACTAGTTGGTTTTGTAACTATAAGCATTCTGACATGTTGTCATGATGATAAATAACTAGAATATTTCATTGACAAGAAAAATGTTGTTCCTTTGACATACCGGCCTTAGATCAATTCCATAGTAAAACAATGCATTAATCAAGGGCATACAGTTTTTTCAAAGCATTTTTTCTTCCTCCTTCCCAAAATATTGTAGATTTCTCCTTGTTTATTTTTCCACTACTTTGGTGCAGATTATATCGGCTAAATGATGGAAAATTTAAAAAAGCAGAACAGATTAAAACATTATAAGAAAAATATTCTAATAAAACTCCAATCCAATTTATTTTTTTTATTATCATCATAATCTTGTTTATATGACATTGGATTACATATAACTTTACAGTGTATTACATTGCTTTTTCAAAAGGGAATGCCAT